TGATGGGGCGCTGCCTCTGGTCTACATTGCATGCTGATGTGACACTACCTCTGGTCTACATTGCATGCTGATGTGGCGCTACCTCTGGTCTACATGGTATGCTGATGTGGCACTGCCTCTGGTCTACATTGCCTGATGATGTGGTGCTGCTACTAGCCTACATTGCTGATGTGGCGCGTGCCACTGTTCTTCATTGATGATGTGGCGTATGCCACCTGTCTCGATTGCTGACGTGGCATTGTCCACGCTGTCTTCATGAGGTGACTGGTTGCGAGGAGGAAGATCGGGATCTGTGGATGAGGGAGGTCGGATACTCACCTGAGGTTGACGTCGTCGCTGAAACCTGCTGTGTCTTCATGGTCTCCACGAGATAAAGTGCCACGTGGCACTACTGTATATGATCAGGATTATTATACTTGATATCATCTTCTGATTGTTGACGTGGAGAGGGAAGAAGCCCGGAGAAGAAGAGGGGTTTGACGGGACTACTTTTGTGTGATCCTTTATCATATCTTCCACCTTCTCTTCTGTCTGATCCCCCTCCACTCTCTTCGTCTAATGGTAATGAGCATAGCTACGATCCGGACACCCGGACAGGGATCCGGACCGAGCAGCGTCTGGCGTCCGGTCCAGGTGTCCGGATTCTGGTCCGGATGGTTGGAAAATCAGGGGTAGCCGTTTTTTTTTTTTGGCATCCCAGGTCCATTTCTTCCATCCTGAGCCGCCGCGGAAAATTCCGAGGTGATTTTTTAAAGGTTCTGCTTGGCATCCAGACAGGGCCGGAAGGAGGGGCCCTAAGTTTGCTTTTCCCCCCCACCCACTCCGTTTCTTTTCCCGCTCTCGCCAAGGAAAGCTACTCTTTTTTTTTTTTTTTTTTGTAGAAGGCCGTTACTGTACACATTCAGACGCGCCCGTATCTTCTCAGGATAGGGCACTTAGTACATTCCCCCCAAAACAAAGAACGTTAAGAAAAAAACAAAAAACGCAGATCCAATTTTCAGAGAGAAAACTGCGCCCGTCAGAACGGGCACCTGCAATGATTATGGGGACTTTGGGCCTTGCTCCACTACTCACCAAATGTGGAAAATGAGAATGAATCTTCTGCTAGAACATGGGAAGATACACTGCCATATTTTTTGTCTTTTGTTCATGTGGTGAGTAGTGGAGCATCGCATATGCCCTCCCTCCGCCCTCCAAAGGTAACCGAAATATTTTCGGTCTTTTTTTTTTTTGCTTGCTTTTTGTTTTGTTTTGTCAGAAGGGCGTGACTGTGTCCTTTCATGCACTCCTTCCTTCCCAGGATTGGATGCTTCGTACATTCCCACGAAAACAAACAGAAAAAAAGAAAAAAGAAAAAAAAAAAAACAGAATCCCGTTTTCAGAAAGGAAACAGCACCCTATCAGGAGAGGCGCCTGCAACAGATCCAGGGACTTTCGGTCCCCTGTTTCTCTCTGCCTGCCACTTGGGGGGTCGTATGTGCTCCATTTTCTTAATTTCTTTCCAGTCACTGTGGCCGTTGGCAAAGGCCAACGACATAATTCAGCCCTTTGCAGTTGGCGGATCCCATGTGTTTCGTTTTCAGCGCTGGTACACCCACGAGATAGAGCATTCCCCCAATGATTCCCTGCCCCCTAGAAAATACAGGCATCCGGACAGACATCCGGACAGAACATCCGGAAAACCGGTAGTCCAGATAGGGCCGGGAGGTCCGGCGTCCGGTGTCCGGATCTGGCCCGGTGTCCAGGCCGGCGTAGCCATGGTAATGAGACACTGTTTCAGATATTTGTGATGACCCGTCCATACATGGACTGAAACACACAGCTGAGTTCTGAGTTTTGCCCATAGACTGAATGCCCTGCTGAGTTTCCTACTTGCTACTAAGTCTGTGTGTGTGTGACCATGCCTGTCTCAGGCCGCCATGCCCAACCCTGCCCTGAAGCAGCTATGGGTGCCCTGAAGCAGCTATGCGCTGAATGTGTGTGTGACAACGCAAAGCAGCTATGGGTGCTCGGACTCAGGCCGCCATGCCCAACCCTGCCCTGAAGCTTCTTGGTGTGGCTCTCCCTGGCTGGGGACTCCTTGCTGCAGCGCCCACCAAGGTGATGAAGATGGCTTCCACCATAGCCAGGGAAGTACCCCTGGCGCTCCTCCCCCTTCCTCCTTCCTTCCTCCTCCTTCCTCCCTCTAGTCCTTCTTCCTCCTCCCTGGCAGCGCAGCTCCAGCCCAGCGCTGCTCCCTCCAGCGCCCCACCAGTGTGTCGCCAAACTTGCACACCGAAAAAGAGGCCGGGTTTTCCGCCCGGCCGGAAGATATAGCGGCCTGCTTTGCCTCTTGGGCGGTGACTTCCAGGCCGCTGGCCTTCCCAAGCAACCGGTACCTCCTCCTCTTTTGGAGGGAACATCATTTCAGACTCTGATATTGCCCCTACAGGCCCTATACTCAGACTGGTACCCGCTAGACCTAGCCTACACTACCGGCCTCTAAAAATGCCACTTTTGTCTTCTTCTGCTCGGCCTCCGGTACCTGCATATTTACCCCCCTGCCGGGTGCGGTACCGGCCTACCCGCTACTTGAGTGCTTTTTCCCCGCTGCAACCCTTCAAAGTCACGGCCACAGGTAAGTACCGGTCCTGAGGGCCCAACGAACGAACAAGTGCCTTGGCGGGCGACACACACACACACTAATACCGACGAGCACTCATACAGGCACAGTCACACACGCAAGCCAACCAGCACTCAAACAGACATGCAGTCCAGCAAGCACACACAAACAGAGACTTAGCAGGCGGGGAACTCAGTAGGGCATTAAGTCTATGAGCAAAACTCAGAAATCAGCTGTATGTTTCAGTCCGTGTTTGGACGGGTTATCACACTATCCCCCCCTCAAGAGCGAGGTCCCTTCGAGCGAGTAACTCATTTTGGCAAACGCATCGTAGGCGAGCAAGGCAAAGAGATTCCTGGAATACTCTGTTGCAGAGAGCCTTGCTTAGATCTTCGGTGTGGCGTCAGCGGCGATCTGTCGGCCGTAAGCTTTAACAACGCGCGGTGCGCTGCGTAGCAGTTCCTGTTTGGAGATCCAGTAGAGATCATCTAACGGGTGATACATGAAATGAACCTGGTACTGTTTGTTTCTCCCTTTACCCCCATGCTGTTTAATTCTATCTATCTCATGCGTGCCCTTGATTGCGCAAGGGATCGTATCTTCGCGGTAATCGAATGTCTCGGCATCACAATGGAGGTACAGTTTAGATGCATGGAACACTGGATATGTGCACAAGTGAGCTGGCACGTCTGCAACGTACGAAGGGCCAAAGTGATCTTCCCCAATTACATCCAAAACTTCCCAAGGCCCGTAGTAGAGTGGGAGGAGTTTGCGTGAGACTCCCTCCTCCTCTGAGAATTCAGACATCTTCACCCAGACATAACTTCCTACCTGGATCTCCGATGGTCGACGCTTTTTGTTTGCATGGTGGATCATGGCATGCTGTCGCTTGGTCATAGCTCCAACGACAACTTTGAGCAAGCGATCATACTTAGCCCTGAAGTCGGGCCTGCCGGGTGTTGAGCCAGCTGACTGCTCAGGGAATAAGTAGGAGAGTGGATTACGGATCTGCCAACCGTAGTGCAACCTGTTGGGTGTCGTGGCGGTGGCAGAATGGACAGAGTTGTTGTACAACCCTTTTACAGAATACAGCTCTTCATCCCATGTCTCCTGATCCGGAATGATCAACGCACGGAGAAGTTGGAATACAGTCTGGTTGATCTCCTCAGCCAAACCATTGGCTTCGGGGTGTCGGCCAGATGTGATGCACAGTTTGATTTCTAGGTGGGGCGTGAAATCCTTCCATTCAGTGCTATTGAAATGCGGATCCGGATCGCTCACAAGAGTCTTCGGGGTTTCGAATTGCAGTAGGTATTTCTGTTGGAATTCGCGAATCACTAAATCTGTTGGGGCGTGGGGCAGCAAAGGAATCAGATTGAGGAATTTTAAAAATCGGTCAACAATCACCATGACTTGTGAATACCCGTGCTTGCTTTCCTTACCCATATCAGTGAAGTCGATGGAGACATTCTCCCCGGGACCATTAGGAATGGGTAGGGGTGTGAGGAGCCCCATGGGCTTTTGTCTGCAAGGTTTGATTCGTTGACAAACTTGACATTCAACCACAAATTTCTCAGCAGTCCCTTTCATGCCAGGCCAATCAAACTGTCTTAGCAGGTTAGCGTACGTTTTTGCCATGCCGAAGTGCCCGCCCCGGCCATGAGCCAAGTCCAGAAAGTGTGTGCGGAGAGGCTCATGGTTGGGCACACAGAAACGGTCATGGTTCCCGTAACGATGAAAAATTTGTCCTCCATACTCATGGAAATCAGGCTGACTACTAGGATCAGCCCGCAACTGCTCAAGGATGGAGCTAAGCTCCGGATCCTTGGCTGTCTGCTCTACGAGCTCCTCCTTCAGTTTCTTCCGGAGGTCGTAGGATTTCACAAGGCAAGTCATGTACTCAGGGTGGCGAGACAATGCGTCAGCCACTCGATTATAACAACCCTTTTTTGTCTTAATTCAAAATAAAAAATGTCAATCTCATGGAACCAGCAAAGCAAGGTAGGGGACAGAGTAGTTTGCTGTTTGATCAACTTTAAGGTCTCATGATCTGAGAAGACTTTGAAGTGGCGTCCCAGAAGGTAATGTTTCAAGTGATCCAACGCCATACACAATGCGTGGAGCTCGCGCATGTAGGTGGAAGTGGCTACCTTTATGCTGGGCTTTCGTTTGCTGTAGTACTCGAGTGGCCGCAGGCCATCTCCGTCATCTTGCTGCAGCACTGCACCGATTCCATACCGACTTGCATCCGTAGTGACTACGAAGGTCAGTTTGGGATCTGCAATGCGGAGTACCGGGTAACTTGCCAAGGCTTCCTTGAGAGCTTGAAAAACTTCTGTACACGCGGCATCCCAGGAATAAGACACATTTTTATTGGTTAGTCGCGACAATGGACGAGCAATGATAGAAAAACGGGGTACAAACTTTCGATAGTACGACGCGAGTCCAAGGAAAGAACGCAATTCGCGAATGTTCGCAGGTTGAGGCCAATCACGTATGACCTCAATCTTAGTTGCCTCGAGCTCTAGGCCTGCAACAGACAATCGGTGCCCAAGATAGATGACGCTATCCTTCCCAAACTCAGATTTCTCCAAGTTGAGATGGAGCTGCGTCTTCTTGAGGATAGCGAGCACCTCCTCAAGATGCTTGAGGTGTTCCTCCATGGACTTGCTGAAGATCAGAATGTCGTCCAGGTACACTCCCACAAACCGGCCAATCTGTTCGTCGAGGACCTTGTCCATGAGGCTTTGGAAAGTGGCTGGTGCGTTCGTAAGACCGAAGGGCATTACGGTGAAATCGTAAAGCCCGTCGCGTGTCTTGAACGCAGTCTTGTGCTGGTCCGCAGGATCGACTTCAATCTGGTGGTAGCCAGACTTGAGATCGATCTTAGAGAAGGCCTTGCACCCGCCTGCGGCATCAAGCAAGTCGTCTATACGAGGCAATGGATAAGCATTCTTTCTTGTGATGCGGTTTAGACCGCGATAATCAATACACATGCGGAGTTTGACTCCTTTCTTTGGCACAAACAATATAGGAGCACCAAATTCAAATTCACTTGGTTTGATCCACCCTTCGTCAATCATCTCATCGATATGTCCTCGGAGTTCTTCCAACTCGCCGGGTCCCATACGGTACACGCAGCCCTTTGGAGGAACAGCACCCTCGACCAACTCGATGGTGTGTCGGACCGGTCGCGTGGGGACTCCACGTGGCTCGGCCAAGACTTCCGGAAACCGATCGAGGAGGGTTTGGATGTCTGATGGGACAGGTGGGTGTGGGGAATCAGCAAAGGGATCACCAAGGTCCGGTCACAAGTCGCGTATAGAGACGATCGAATCTGAAGTAGGATCATTTGGACTATTAGAAGATAGAGAGATAGAGGTGCTAGTAGTAGAAGTACTAGAAGTAGGATTATCAATCAAAGTAGTTGTGGTATTAGCAGCAAAAGTAGAAGGCACATGAGCATGAGGAACAAAGGCAACATACAACTGTTCTTCCTCTTTGTGCTTGCACCACTTCTTGTAGAACTTCAATGCATTTAGAAAAGTCACTGGGGATTCGTGCTTCTCATCCAAGAGGACAGGAAGCTCGTTCCCCTGAGCATCTTTGACCATGAAGAGTGATTCCTTCCACTTGGTCCATTCGCATTGGGACTGCAGCCAGCCCAAGCTAAGGAGAGCGTCGAAGGGGCACTTGTCAAGGACAAAGAAGCTTTGTGCATGGGTGACAATCTTACCTCTGTCAAAGGTAGTGCGCACACCTTTGACTGCATGTGTTGAAGAGACAACTTCTTTGTTGCCAACTTGGGTCCGGCAAGGGTTCTGCAGGGCCACTTGCTTCATCCCCAAGCCCACCTTGCGTATCCCATGTGGTGACATGAAATTTGTTGTAGCACCACAGTCAACCAACGCACGGAGATAGCAGTGGTTGATGAGAAGTTTAAAGAAGATCGACTTCACTGTCCTTTGGGCACGTTGCTGTTTCATCTCAGCCCAATGCTCCAAGTGGTAGTGGAAGTCAACCATCTCAGACTCCTCCCAAGGCTCGACATACAAGACGTTACTTACCTCAACCTTGTCTTCAGCAGATGATTGGGCTTCAGGGGAGGGCTGTTGATTTCCAACAGAACCGGACTCCTCTGCTGTAGAGTCTACTGAATCTGACTCTATGCCCGATTCTGGTTTCCCTGCAGCCTATAACAGTCTTGAACTTTATGATTTGGCTTTTGGCAATGCATGCAAACCCCCTTCTTGTGTCTGCCCCGCCAGTCATTTTCCGTGATCCGAAGTCAACCCAAGGTTTGGTAGTTGCATCCTCCGGCTTAGGCGGGATCTTAACTCCTTTGGGGAGTTGGACATAGCTTTTTCCGACACTCCGATTCGGTCCCTTGGTACTGGCAGTCTTTTTAAAGGCAGAAAATTTTTCTTCTTCTTTATTTGTGTCGGACTCATGGGCTGAAGAACAAGGTGTATCAGAGTCCTGTTCTTGGTCGTCACCAAGAGTGGGGTCACCCGCATCGGCTTCTTCTTCGGCCTCCAGCAGGTCATCCACAACAAAACGGTTGCTGCCCTTGAACCGTCTGCCGCCCATGGGCTTTTTGCTGCCTGTCGGGCTAACGAGGTTTGCTTCGAGACTGACTACGTCCTTCATTAAGGCAAGCCAGTCAGTGTATGCAATGTAGTCCCTGCCCAGGCGACTAGTGAAGTTAGTTGGAACCGCGCCCTTAACCACATCCAAGCAAGATTGGGTGGACAATTCCAAACCAGGAGTGGCAAACAACTTGCTTAGATAGGTCTGCAGGCTTTTCATGGAGCTATTCCACTTGTTGTGCTTTACTTTGTCTAGTTGAATCCTTGCTTGAGCAGCAACATATGGATCTTGGTATTCCGAGATAAGGAGCTCTTCGAGGGAGGCAACCGGGGTGGTCCTTAGCCATTTGGCTAGTGCAGCCTTTGGAAACCCAGCCCGTGTTGCTTGGACTTCTAGGAAGCCCCGTACGATTGGCTCGACATTCATTCCCATGATCACCGCCTTGTTCTCAGGTTGAGTTCCCAGGATCTCAAAGTAGGCCCTCATGGAGCCGATCCAGGACTCGATGTCATCCTTGCTGTCGCACTTGGACGGCATTTGTATCGCCTTCCGGTACACGTAGGGACTGGTGTAGCTGGGACCAGCAGCAGCGGGTTCCGGCCTTGGGGCTGCAACAATTGCAGAAGTTCCAGCCTCATTGTTGGTTACAGCAACAGTGGAATCTGCACCTGTTGCAGGTCCCGAGGGAGTTGCCATCACACTTGAAGAAGAGGTAGAAGAAGATACAGTAAGAGGGGCAGACGTAGTTTCGATTGCAGCTTCGGATCCAGGGGGTAGAGGACGAGGGTTGGCCACTTGGGCTTGTCGCAGGTCAGCCACCTCCTTTATCAAGTCATGGTACTTGCGGGTCATATCAATCAGATCATCCTGAAGAGTCTGCAGCTTTGCAAAGACTTCAGCGATCTGAGTGGTATGGTCCTCAAGATTCCGGACTTGAACAAAGGCTGTGAGTATAGACTGCATATGTTCCCCGCACTGCTGTTCCGTCAGTGAGGGAACAGTCTCTAGGAGAGCTACTTGCCTGCTCAACAAGGTCTCCTTCCTCTCCTTCTCTGACTCCTGTTCCCGTTTTATTGCACCATCTAAGAGTGCTTGCAGATGAGGTTTCTCAGCATCACTGGCTGCATCTAACAAGGCCCGCCATTGCGTTGAAGTTAGCTGGGCCATTTTTGGACTGTCAGTAGAGATAGGTGGGTCAGAGAGTCGCCAATCAGCAAAAGAATCAATCAGACTCTCAAGAGGTTCACTCCCCCTCGCGCTTTGACGAACAATCAATCAGACTCTCAAGAAGTTCACTCCCCCTCGCGCTTCGACGAACACTCCTTTTCCCAGTCCTTGCCCACTTTAGACTATCGCTTTCCCTCTCTCCCTGTTCTCTCTCCCTCCTCTCTCTTTCTTCTTTCAGATTGCGAGTCTCCACGGGCATCGGAAATGAACTCATAAAAACAGATAAGGCTCAGAGAATAGAAGGTAGAACTCCTAGCCGGAGCGGCATTTCATTTGGAAGTAGAGAACAACAAAAGAAACAGTCAAACTCAAATAGAGGTCTGATCCAGCGACCCAGTCTAATCAGACTGCATACGAGGTCCTCTCGAGTCCAGTCTGACCAGCTCCATGTCTGCACAACAAATCAGACAACGAGTAACTAAATGCAACAATGGAGAATTGAGTGGTGTACAGGGTGCGAATCAAGCCACGGATGGTGCAATCAGAATACAAGCGAAACATCAAAGCCAAGATCCCCTCGGCAGTGGGTGTCCTAATCCAAGAAGAATGAACTCACATCCCAGCCAAGAAGACAAGAGGTCAATGCCTAACCGATTTGGGTCCAGGGGCTCTCCTTGTTTGGACCCGGTCCCGTTGGGTCCCAAGGGTCCCACGTAGGTCTCAACCAGGTCCCAACCAAGAGGAGTCCCACCTGAACTTAGTTCAGTCTCTACTGTACTGAAAAACGAAATTTCAACTTCTAGCAGAACCTACAGACTACAACCGTTCAGTGATGAAAAGACAGCACTGTAGAAAGACTCGGCGTGTATAACAAGCTACTTCATTTTCCATCCATCAGGTGAGTAGGTAGATCACATGCATTCAGTCACACAATCAAGACCACAGAGGAGTAGGAAAAGAAACCCAGAGTACCCCCAACAGGACAATCAATACCATACACACATACATGGGCATCCCTTAGGTGCACGACACTTACCTGAGTGGCCTTGAGCTTCGAGATGAAGAGAACTCACCCCCCTTCTCATATGGTCCTCCTGACCCATCTAACGCTACCCCTACACTAGTGTCCTATCTCCTAGGAGGGTCTGACTCCAACACCCAAGTGCAACGCCGGATCCCCCGTCGATGTTGAAGAACAAAGTAGCAACTTGCAGTCCGTTGATGCAGAATGGCCGTTGACCCTCAAGCTCGCCTACTTGAGGGCAGCCCTTAAGTTGCCAAGTGTCTCCCATGAATCAGATTCCAGGTGCGAGTGCCTCTCACTGTCGCCTCTCTCAAATCGTCTCATGAAGTCTCCTCGAAATGTCTCGCTACCCTAATCTCACTCTCAAGCAACATGGTTAGGGTCTATGTTGACCCCACATGACCTAACCAGGTGGGGGCAACTTCCCTTAGCCACGCTGCCCCACTTCCCTCAACCATCCAACCCTAACCCTAAGTGTTGCCCTCAACCACTTAGGTTAGGGTTAGGGTAGCAAAGTCAACTCTCACCAGCAAGTAGAATCCGCTCTGGTACCAATGTCATGACCCTGTCCAATTTCGAGATACACATCCACTGGAAAGTACAATGCCATCCAATTGCAGAAAGAAATGAATGAACTTGAGAGGAGATAGAGGAGTAGAAGAAGAAGAAGAAGAAGTAAGAAAGAAGAAGAAGAAGATGTACACCAGCAAAGACAATGACAAGGCTCTTCTTCTTCCCCCAACAATCTCCTCCTTATCTGCCCCTTCTCTTATTCATACAAGAAATAATAATGCAATGTTGAATGACTGGTCCAGAATCATGTTCGAGTCCCTTTTCTACTGCAGGTATCACTCATGGTCCACCATAGCCATGGCCGCCTCTCCCACTCTTCACACACATAGGCCTTGCTCCGATGTCGGACTACTAGGCCTTGCTCCGATGCCCAAAGGACAAGGCAAAGCAGCTATGGCTGCTCGGACTCAGGCTGCCATGCCCAACCCTGCCCTGAAGCTTCTTGGTGTGGCTCTCCCCGACTGGGGACTCCTTGCTGCAGCGCCCACCAAGGTGATGAAGATGGCTGCCACCATAGCCAGGTAAGTACCCCTGGCGCTCCTCCCCCTTCCTCCTTCCTTCCTCCTTCCTCCCTCTAGTCCTTCTTCCTCCTCCCTGGCAGCGCAGCTCCAGCCCAGCGCTGCTCCCTCCAGCGCTCCACCAATGTGTCGCCAAACTTGCACACCGAAAAAGAGGCCGGGTCTTCCGCCCGGCCGGAAGATATAGCGGCCTGCTTTGCCTCTTGGGCGGTGACTTCCAGGCCATTGGCCTTCCCAAGCAACTGGATCCTCCTCCTCTTTTGGAGGGAACATCATTGCAGACTCTGATATTGCCCCTACAGGCTCTCTACTCAGACTGGTACCCGCTAGACCTAGCCTACACTATCGGCCTCTAAAAATGCCAATTTTGTCTTCTTCTACACGGCCTCCGGTACCTGCATATTTACCCCCTTGCCGGGTGCGGTACCGGCCTACCCGCTACTTGAGTGCTTTTTCCCCGCTGCAACCCTTCGAAGCCACGGCCACAGGTAAGTACCGGCCCTGAGGGCCCAACGAACGAACAAGTGCCCTGGCGGGCCACACACACACACACTCATACCAACCAGCACTCATACAGGCACAATCACACACGCAAGCCAACCAGCACTCAAACAGACATGCAGTCCAGCAAGCACACACAAACAGAGACTTAGCAGGCGGGGAACTCAGTAGGGCATTCAGTCTATATAGCAAAACTCAGAAATCAGTTGTGTGTTTCAGTCCGTGTTTGGACGGGTTATCACACACAAGTTTTCTTTCAGGTACCTGTTGAAATTATTCATTCCAAAATTCAAGAACTTCATTGTGCAGGCAGGTGAAAGATAGAGTGAGAACAACCTTTTTCCTTTTCTCCAACAGGCAAAGTCAATCTCCATAGCAAGCATCCTTCTACCTACCTGCGCAACATGCAAAGAAAACAAGGCCAAAAGAAAACAGTACAATCCCCCATATTCAAGTCAGACCTTTCCATTCGCATTCATAGCTTGTTCACCTCGGTTGGGATAGTATTCTTTTTTTCGTCCGCTTTTGCTGTTGCCGTGCCTCCAGTGCCGCCGCCGCAAAAATCCGGCAGCACTTCCGCCGTACGTCAACGAAGATATTGTCGTTGCCACAAAACCGCGCAGAATCTTCCCACCACCTTACCAATTATGGTCCCCGTCGCTGTGATGGCCGCGCAGCACCTCCTCAGCACTTCACAAGTGAAGTGGTGGCTATGGCTACCTCCCTTCTCCTCTTCCAACTCCCTGCAAACCTCCACTCCACCAGCAGCACCTCCACCAGCAGCATCTCCCCACAGCAGCAGCCAGCCAACATTCACTCAAGTGAATGCCCCAGCAGCACTGCCACAATTGTGAGGCTGCTAGGTGGAGTGTTGGCTTTTACAGCCAGCCGAAGGCATGTGGGCAGCTGCTTTAGGCAAAAATTCGTCAGAGCTCCTGGCCCTTGATCTAAATTGATGGCCAGGAGCTCTGAGCCTTGGTTTTTGCTTACGGGAACCAAGGTCATCCATTCCCGGCAGTATCTGGCCTCTCCCGCAGGCCACATGCTCCATGAAATGGCTGTACCCAGCCATTCTCTGCAGCCTGCTCAACTGAACAGGCGCAGTCCCATCAGCCTCCAGAGCCTTCTGGGGGCTGTACCTATTCCACGGTCGTGGCGACATTCACTTTTCTTCCCCCCTTCCTTACTTTTCCTTTTTTTTTTTTTTCTCTCTTTTTCCAGGGCAGGGGCAGCTCGTTTTACGAAACGAGCAGCCCCCCCCACACAGTCATTTCACTGAGTCGAACTAGG